TATAACCTTGCCAACCAACATATGAGAGAAAAGAAAAACAAAAGGTAGATTTGTGAACCCTAAAATGGTATAGTATAAATATCACACAACAACCTTTAAAAGAATTCATACCATTTACTTGCTCTTTTAGTTAGACATTTAAAATCAACTAGAAATTTCTCACAATATATTCAAAGAAGAAAGAAGAGACAAAGTTGGCAAATGCATGGAACGACTAGGTGGGATGCAATGCTACAAATGCAATGCAAATCTATCAAGGAAATTAAACAAAACATTTCGATTGAAATTTTCATATAGTGTTAGTGAATGCAAAGTTAAACTATATATTAAGATTATTATTAGCTAACTGTTTCAAAGTCTATTATTTATTAAAATATATTCATCGTTACTTATTAATAATAAATGAGTTTAAATTCAAAATTTTTAATTTAAAAGACTCAAATTTTAATATTTAATGAATTGGTTTTCTTTAATAGTAACAAAAAAAAAAGAATTTTTTATGAAATTTTACTTGGACTCTTTTAAGATTAAGAAATTATAACAAAATAGTAATAGTTCAAAGATAAATATATATATATATATGCATATATAAGTTCTATAAACTATAAAAAATTTATAAACATCATAGAAGCCGAATATGAAATATTCTAATTACTAATGAATAAATGAAAAATCATTTTTTGAAAGAAATTTTGCATCTTCTGGCTCTTTTAAGATTAAAAAACTATAACAAACAAGTAATAGTTCTATATATATATATATATATAAGTTCTATAAACTATAAAAAATTAATAAACATCATAGAAGCAGAATATGAAATATTCTAATTACTAATGAAGAAATGAATAAATGAAAAATCATTTTTTGAAAGAAATTTTGCATCTTCTGGCTCTATTTCTGGGCAAAAGCTTACTTTAGCCCCTTACTTTATCAAGTTTAATGGTTTTAACCCCTTACTTTATAATTTGACACTTTTAACCCTTCACCTTACTAGATTTGTAACTTCTAACCTATCGACTTATATTATAACACTTATAGTTCCTCAATTATTAAAATTGAAAAAAATAACCCTCACTTTGTAATATTTTGCTAGTTCTATTAACTGACTGTTAACTTTATTAGCTAACTGTTAGTTGATTGTTAACTGATAAAAACTTTTTTTTAGTTAACAGAATTAACAGACTTAATTTTATAATATTTTGTTCATTTTGTTAACTGACTATTAATTGACTGTTAGTTGATAAAAATTTACTTTCAATTAATAAAATTAACAGTCAATATAAAATAAAAGTTATTTTTTTCGATTTTAGTAGGTAAAAAACTAAAACTTATAAATCTAATAATGTGAGGAGTTAAAGGTAGGTTTTGGGCCAAAGGTAGGTTTTTGCCCCCCTTTCTATAGGTCAAGAGAGATGGAGTTAGGTCAATAAGGTAACATGTTACATGCACACGTGGTAGCTAGGTTTAGTTGTTCATGTACCCCAACAATTCGATGTACCCTATTGCTCTGAGGCCCAGTTCCTGGCTAATCCTTTCACAAACCATGTCCAAAACGCCAAGCAACACAACCAGGATGTCAACTCGCTGGGACTAACCTCAACCAGGAAAATAGCTGAATCTGTTGATATCCTGAAACTGATGTCCTCAATTACTTGATTGCACTTTGCCAGGCTATAGACTTGAGGCACCTCGATGAAAACCTGAAGGCCACAGTTAAGAACACAGTTAGGCAGGTACTAGGTAGCCAATAAAGTCCTAACCACAGGCCTCAATGGGGAGCTCCATCCATCAAAATTCAGTGAATTGGACCAGTTGAAAGTGGTTGATCACGAGCGTCTCTTTGCCTACATCGATTATCCCTGCAGCGTAAATTATCCATTGATGCAAAAACTAAGACAAGTATTGGGAGAACATGCCTTGCTGAATAATTGATGCTTCAATCTTCCAAAGGATTGGTGCTTTTGAGGAGGAGTTGAAGACCCTTTTGCCCAAGGAAGTTGAGAAAGTGCAAGAAATGGTTTTGGGAGTGGAAATCTAGCTATTCCGAACAGGATTGAGGAGTGTAGATCCTATTCTCTGTATAGGTTTCTGAGGGAGAGCCTGAGAACGGAGTTTTTGACAATAGAGAGAAAGATTGCCGGGGGAGGAATGGTGATAGGAAGTTGATTGATCCATTTGCTTGAATGTCTAATGGAATGGGATAGGACTCCTCTTCCACTCTGTTAAAAGAAGGTAAGAAAAAGAGTAATGCAAGCCTTTCAGCATCTCGCCAATTCATAGTTCGAAGTTCTTATGTACAGAAATTTAACAAACTTGAGTTAAAATTAATTACATCCCTGTGATCCCAGAAACTGCAGAGTTGTTCAATTGACAACAAAATCCATTCAGTATATTTCATCACCGATCATTAAGTTGTCTTGAGGTCTTAATTCTGATAGTCAAAGCCACGGTGCCGCCCTTCACCTCACCCTTGATTTGAAACTAGAAAATTTCCACAGAAGTCATGAATGGAAATAATTGAAAATTAACAATAATACCAATAATTGTTACAATTTAAGTACAGATATATACACAGTGCCGAAAGGTACCTTGTTGAAAATTGTTGAAAATTACAATTTCTGACCTTGGACTAGGCGTTTCAGAAGCCCCGTAAAAGAATTGAAAATTGTAAGGTCCATGCTCTGGAACAAAGTTTTAACAAGATGGCTACCCTACACATCACTATAAGTTAGAGATACTCAAAATGGTCAGTCATCATCAGATAAACAAACAATGTCAGTGGCTGCACTGGGCTGTGGTGCGTTAGACTGCGTTCTTGGCATGGTAGGCAGTGGTTGCAGTGGTGTGGCACAGTTTGAACTAGTGTCTAAGGGCAAGGTATTAGGAGGATTAGGATTTGCCATGGACTGATTGGCAGCATTGATTAGCAAATCTAATCGAGAAAGGTTATTAGGTAAAACTGGCAACCCTACAGATGTGGCTGGGATGTGGGCTCTACCAGCTTGGCTAACAGTTGGTGCAATTCTGGGTGTAAAGGCGTTACCATGGCCCGGCTGTACGGGCATTCCACAAGAAAGAGGTGGGACAACACTAGGGTGCATTGATGTTGAAGGTCTAAATGGATGTAGATGTGGGGCAGGAGCACGGATTTCACTGCCAACTTGGAGGTTTCCAAGAGAAGGGGTGATGGAACTGATGTGGGGAGGAGGCCTAGGTGGAGTGCCTGAGAAAATTGCGGATGGAGTGTTAACAGCCTGCAAAGATGGGCTTATGGCTTGTGGGGTAACCACTGGAGGGGAAGCAGTCTGCACACTCAACACAGTTGAGATAGTAGCTGGCAAACTAGCTGGAGGTGTGCCACCAGGGACAGAGGAAGGTCTCTGCGGCATTTGCTGAGGTGATAGTTGAGCCAGCTGCTGCATGAAATTGGTACCCGTCTCTGCCAAGGTAGCAAACAAACAAATATCAGATCCAAGCATGAAGTTGTATGTGTGTATGTAGAAGACACATAAAATTTTGAATCATCAGGAAAGGGCAAATCTAAGCAGTCTCAACTCTCAAATTAAATGAATTTCAGTTTTCAGAAGCAACCAAAACTGAACCAAACATGACGCACCCAGAACCACACTTTGAGCTAGTCTCCTAGTCATAGCAACAGTTGATCAAAGGTTACATATCAAATAGATCTGCTTGTGCATCTATCTTCTTTTTATTTTATCCAACAACCAATACAAATAAAAATAGTACACACCTTGCAGCATTCCAGTAAAATTATTATCAATGATTTTAAGCCTGAAAGCCTCAGCCAAGATCTTGTTCATGAGAACTTTGTTGTGATTTACATCAAGCTCCTTCTTTTTTAGCAGAAAACAAGCTTCTGCCTCCTGAAGTTTAATCTCATACTTCTTACGAATCTGAGCAATAGCCTCCTCTATTTCTTTGTTACAATCAGATTTTAACTGCAACTTCTGCTCAAAGGAAAGAAAGGTTTCAGCAAATGACACCTACAAACTCACTGTCAGTACAGAAGCAAACAACAAAATGAGAAACTAACCATTTCTTCGTGTATCTTAATGGTTTGCTCTGCTTCTTTAACTATCCTTTCCATTTCATTTTGAAGTGGATCATGAGAAGAAAAAGGCATATGAGACGATACAGTAGGGGCAGTTTGTACAGGAAGATTAGTTGATACTGTTCTTGTGTCCGAAACATGTCTTGAAGCATGAGAAAGATGGTCGTCATTACTTGGTTGAAGTTCAACTCCACCTGCCAATGGTAAATCCAACTGATTATTAAGGTTTGAAGGTGACCCTCTTGAACTTGATGGCTGCACTTGTGCTCCAACCTCTGCAATGTGGGCACCTACACCATATTGGCTAGGTGTTAGATCCAAACCAGAGTGCAATGGTGATGGTTCAACTACCCGAGAACTGCTCTGTGTTTGAATATTTGCTGCATCTCTAGCTTGCATTTCAGAATCTGTTGATGGAACAGTGCATCTCTCTGGCTCGACCTGCCCAAATAAACTTTCATCAATAGATTGGAAGCTAACTATCTTATCCTACTTCTCTTCTTTTCACCTCTCCCTTGAATTTTCTCAGCACAAATTCTATCCTCAAACCCATCCTCTAATCATATGAGCAGTGAATATAAGAAACCCATATATCAACTTATCACTAATGTTGTCTTAAAGAACTTACCATAATAGAACCCTTATATGAGAAATAATACATCATGATAAAATCATACAGACCTGATTTGATAGCAATGGACCACCCTGGGCCAAGGCAAGCACATGCTGTGCTTGGGATGAGTCTACCACAGGTGCTTCCAAGAACTGAGGTTCCTGATTGACAGAACAGACCATTCCATCCTGCTGGTCAACTCCAATGGCAGCATTATTCTCTCTCTCTGCATTTCCACCCTCTGGTACTTCCCTGTTAGCAGATTCAGGGTCTGACAATGCAAAATCTTTATCAGACATGCAAGATGCAGCTACCTCAGGTATGCTTATCTCATCCTCTCTGCCAGGCATGCTCAAAGAATTTCTTATGTGGAGATTATCACCCACAACATCATTCTTTCCATTACCGTCATCACTCTCATGTGCTTCCCTAGGAGTAAAGGGGGATTCCGATGAGGGATCCTTGCCATTAGGATTGCATGATGCAACTCTGTCACTGGAATTGACAATCATAGATGTGCTTGCTGGGTCCTCACCATCTGGCACCTCAGGCGTGCTTACTTCTCTAAAGGCAACATTATTCTCTCTATCAGCATTTCCACCCTTTGGTACTTCCCTATTAGCAGATTCAGGGTCTGACAATGGACCATCTCTATCAGACATGCAAGATGCAGCTACCTCAGGTGTGCTTACTTCATCCTCTCTCAAAGAGTTCCTGATCAGAAGTTTATCACCCACACCATGATTCTCTCCATTAGCATCATCATTCTCATGTACTTGCCTAGGAGCAAAGGGGGGTTTTGATGAAGGAACCTTGCCAATAGGAATGCATGATGCAGCTATGTCAGGGACAACTTTATGCAGAGTGTCACTGGAATTGAGAATCTCAGGTGTGCTTGCCAGGCTGTCTCCATCTGGCAGGCTTAGCAAGTGCCTCATGGAGCGGTTATCACCCTCAGCTACCTCACTAGGAGCAGTTTCAGTCTCTGCCAATGGTACCTCTTCAGTTATGCATGAGTCAGATACATCAGAAATTTTTTCGTTCAATGAAGGGAGATTACTGGGGAGAATATTCTGCCGACCATCAGAACTGACAATCTCAGGTGTGGTGGGTGAAGCCTCTCCACAAGGCACATTTGATGTGGCTCCATCATGATTCAGGCCTTTAGACAAAGGGGAAGTAACAAAGACAATGTTTTTATGAACTTCAGTTTCTCTGACAGCTTCAGATGCTCCCAACGGAACTTTGTTGTTAGCCTTTCTTAATGTGATTCCATCAGGAACTTGCTCTCCAAATGAACACAATTTTGCAGATTCAATCTTCTCTCTACCATCACCAGAAAAAACAGTCTCAGGCACCCGATTTGCGTCAGGCACATTTAGTACAGATCTGTCACAAATCTGGTCTTGTGGCAATTGTTTCACAGAAAGGGCATTGTCTAGACAATCACTCAAACTTGCAGGAATATCCTGTCCCAACTCCCCATCAGCCATAACTCCAACAAGAATCTGTTCTTTGGAAATAGGAACTTTAGGGACAACATGTTCTTGCTCATGGCCAGGAGAGATGGCTCTCTCACACTCAGTAAATCCTAATTCATTTCGAGCCCACGATTTAACTGCTTCCACCCACCATGCCTTCCATTGATGAACTTTGTTCCTTGATTCCTCCTGCTCTACCTCAAGACTTTTAAGGCGAATGGCCATCTGCTTTTTGAGTTCATCAATCTTAATTACATATTCATCATCCAATTTCTTAAGCTTCTCAAACCTCGTCGTTTCGGGGCTATGCAAACGAATAACAGCTGCCTCCAATTCCCTTCTAGTCTCAAGTTGTACCATTTCTTTCTCATAAGTTCGGTCAAAATTCTCCTTCTCTTCCCTTTGTTTCTGAAGAAGATTTTTCATCATTTTATCACATTTTCTCTGAATTTCTTTGAGACTTTTAAGGAGATCTGACAGTGCTAATTGATATTCTAGGGCCAATTCTGACTGAGAAAGAGACTGTTTCTCAGAGGACTCAGAAACCTTCAATGAACCATCAAGTCCTTTCACTCCTTGATGGTCAGAGGCTGCAGAGCATTGTTCTGTGCCACTGCATTTAGTTGACAGATCAGAAGCTTTGGGAGGGTTAGGGACCTTCATTTTCCCCGTGCGGTATAAAAACGTTCTCTTCAGACACCGCAACAATGAATAAACATAGTCCGCTTCTTCTTTCTTGCAGCCAAAATTGATAGACTTGTTTACTAGTTCAAGAGATTTTTTATGATTGATTTTGTGATTCAGCAAAGCAGCTGCAGTCCAACACTGCATGTAGAGAGAACAATGAGGGCAGACACAGGATATCAAGAATATCATATTATCAACAAATATCTACATGCACACATATGCCCCATGCAGTATCAAAGCCTAAAATTAGAATTCTCAAAGGTTTTAACCTGAGATAGTTAGAGACATACCACTGGATAACATCCCAGTAAAGATGAATGTGAATTCCAGCCCAATTAGAAATGTCAAATAATAGTAAAAGCGTAACCATAACAATAATGTAAAAATTAGTGACACAGACCATAAGCATAAGAGTACAATACAAGGGTGACAACCAAATATGTACAAGAAAAAGGTTCTAACCAGAGATATCTGAAAAGCCTGCAATAGGGCTGCCAGTTCTCTAGTGACATGATGATAATTCATGATATATTCAAGGAAACTTTCAACCATGGCTCTAACATTGTCCTGCAGCAAAAGTAAAATCTAAGAGAACAATAGAAGACTTGACTGCTATGCATGCTGGATTCAAATTAAGGCCAAAGCCCCTATTTGCACCCTCCATTTATTTTTTTTCCGCGGTCAACACCTTCCAGAATTTTTCCTCCCTATTCACACCCTCCACTTTTCAAAACCCGTGAAAAACCCAATATTTTAACGGGCTGTCACGGTACCGTTAATAACCGTTAAAAATTGTAATACATGGCATCAAACAGTAACATAATCCAATGTGGACTTTTTTTTTGATGATATGGCATAATTAAATCATAATTAATTTTATTTTTTTCATTTTCTTCTTTCCCGCATCATCTTTACCATCTTCCTCTTCATCTTCCTGGGTTCCTCATGGAACCAGGAACCAGGTACCTAGAACTTTTTTTTATAATGTGTTATAATTAAATCATCATTAATTTTAATTTCTTTATTTTCTTCTTTCCTGACATCATCTTCACCATCCTCATCCTCATCCCCTAGGTTCCTCGCAAAACCCAGGTTCTGAGTTCTTCGTAGAACCTAATTTCACATGAATGCAAGCTAAGATTTTCATCCACACAATTATAAATAAATGAATACTGCACAAAAACATGATAAGCATCTTTTACTCCTTTCCCACAAAAAACGAAAAAAACTCAAATTGGCAACCTATTTAGAAACAATCTCCCAGCAAAAAAACTCACTTTTTCAACAAAAAAAAATTATTCCAAATTATTTTGCATAAAATCGAAAGCTAAGCTAAGATAAATACATTTTAAAAAAAAAATAAAATAAAATAAAAGAGGTTGGAACTGGGTTCCACGCGAGGAACCCAGAACTGGGTTCCACGCGAGGAACCCAGAACTGGGTTCCCGCGCAAGAACCCGAACTGGGTTCCGCGCAGGAACCCGAACTGGGTTCCCCGCGAGGAACCCATTGAGAAAGAAGAGGATGGTGAAGATGGAGGGCGGTGAAGATGATGCCGAGGATGAGGGGGGAAAGAAAAAAAAAGAAAAAATGCCATTTATGTAATTGTTTGGTAATATTATAATTTTTTATTATTTTTACTGTATACGTGGCGTCCACATTGGATTACTAACGTTACATAGTGCCACGTCAATTTTTGGGTGCCACGTAATATATTTTTTAACGGTACCGTGATGGCCCGTTAAAATATTGGGTTTTTCACGGGTTTTGAAAAGTGGAGGGTGTGAATAGGGAGGAAAAATTCTGGAAGGTGTTGACCGCAAAAAAAAAATAAATAAAGGGTGCAAATAGGGGCTTTGGCCTCAAATTAACAGGCCTTCAGCAAACATTCTAACAAAAAGGAGCTTATTGATTGGAAGAGATAAATAACTACCACACCCAATATGAGAACCACAATTAATTTTGCTGGAGGGAAGTTTAGATTCATACCGGCAGATGTAGAACTTCAGAAAGCTTTGCCATATCTGGCTTCAAAAGAGTGTGGAAACTCTTCTGTGAATCATGCAGTTTTCTTCGTTCCTCACATTCACTCGTGTTTACTTTTGGTATTTTTGAGAAATGACTAGTCGACTGGTGTGGTGAGCTGGAAGCATGCTGCACATAAATTTGATCATTCACAAGACCAGTTGATCTACCCCAAGAATGAGATAAATTAGGTGCTAGTGTTCCTGAGATTCCTGCAGCAAACAGGTGAGACTGTGAGAGCTTAAGATAGCAGATTGTATGGATTCAGGAAGGTTGAATTCTTTCACACTAACTTTGGCAAATCTACATAGATGCTCTTGTGGAAAGTGGATGGTTTTTGCAAATAAATGGTTATATTGGTCATTTACCTTCCGTGTCCTGATCAGCTATTTGCCTGTCTGAACCAGATTTTAGAGAGGGAGAATCAACAAAATCACTGCCTACCTTCTTGCGCTTCTTTACAACTTCACCACTCCCAGCCTCATGTTTCTTTTGAATATCATCAAAATGGTGCACTGATGTCCTTTTCCTATTCCTTTGAGATGAACTAGAAGAATATTTCCATGGTGGATGTTTCCCATTCAGCAGTGTTGTCCAAAACATACAAGGTTGATCTTCATTCATCACTTGAATTTTCTGCTCACCAAACAATGGTAAGTCTGTTCTGTAAGTTACCTGAGGTTTGGCATGCAAAATTAGAGACAACTTTCTTGAATCATAATCTTCCCTATTTGGAGCAAGTATGATCAAGAACTCCTGAAGCAAATCTTCCAAATGTGATTGGTCAAAAACTATAGTAGTGTCGAATGCTGGGGTAGCATCATGGAACTCATTCAATTTATTAAAGATGTGTGAAGCCCCCCACATAAGCAGTCTCTGAATAGTACTAGGGTTTATGCTTGGTGCATTGCCATCAAAAGTCTTGCCTTGCTTTGCAAGGATCAAAAATTTTTCCTCCACAGTAAGTGAAGAATATAGACGGAATATCATTATCTGCTCAAACTTTGAACCAAGCGCTATCCTCTGCAGGGCTTTTAGATCATTCATTGGGTTCCAGTCACTATTGAACATAATAACAATATCAACTGATGACAATTTGATGCTAGGTTGACAAGCACGGGTTTCCAATAAAAACACAAATCTATCATTTTCCTTGTTGAACTTGTTCAGAGCAGATTGCTTCTTTGAATAGACTAAACCAGAGTCAATACGTTCAAAAGAATCTTGACCAAATCTTTGACGGAGAAAGTCATCTAAAATATCTCCAATTGCATCTCTTCCAGAACCACCAATTGACTGTCAAATACAACATCTATATGAGAATTATAAACCCAGGGGTTTAAAGGCATTAAAAAAAAAAAAAGGTTTCTTTTTAATAAAAATGACTGCTCAAGCATACCCACAGTAAAGATATATTTCTAGCAATCTGCCTTGAAAAACACCACACTAAGGAGCAAAGAGGTAGGAATATATCATACGCGTACCAGCACATTTTACATTTCATTCTATCATGCAAAATAAAAAATTTAAGAGTCAAAGCCAAAGGCACACATTAAATGACACAATAACCTAAACTGCACTAGCTTCTTCACAGAACCAACAACATTGTCACAAAAGTGGGGGCTAGGCTACTTGGCTTGACATGCATCATGAATGTGCCATAAAATCCTTATAGTTCATGCGACATGAACTGATAAAGGAATGCAGTCCCCCAAAAAGCAAAAAAAAAAAAACAAAAACCTCCAACAAAAAACTTTTAGATAAACAAAAACAAACCGCCAATATCTCATAACTTAATCACCAAAGTCATGGACATTGGCCTTTATTTGCAGAGCATAGAAACCTTCATAAAAATAAAAACTTCAAACTAGCAAGGGTAACCCAATAAGAAACAATAGACCCAGTTTCTCTAAAATATGTTAAACTGCCTAGTTTAATAGCTTATATTAATTAGACATATCTATGAATCAATATTCCTTTCTTGAATCCAAATTGTAGATCATCCACTGTTCTATAATCTTAATGGCAGATAAGGCTAATAAACACAAAATTCATCTATAACATTGCTGGCAACTGTCAAGCCAAAAATAGTCCAATTCATTTGCAACTTAGAGCTGTAAATATGCAGGCAATTATTTTTCAAAAGTAAATCTATGAACATCACTATAAGTTCTTAGTTATTTAAGATATAATAATTCTTCCAACCATTTCATCCCCAAAATCTAGCCTACAAACCACCCAAGTAGGTAGATATCAGAACCCCAAAAAATATAAAATAGCTACTGGCAGTAGTTCATCATTTAGAAAGTGATAACAACTACAAGTACAGATCAATAAAACGAAAAATATAATCAAACATACGAATTGTACAGAAAATGTACCTGGAAAAGAATAACTGCTCTTAAACCTAGTTTCTTCATCTCCAAAAGCATTGTCTCAAGAAGTTGTAGTTTGCCACTAGATTTTATTCCAACATCTAAGTACTCAATCGGTTTAAGATCTTTAGTGAGCAACATTTGAAGTGATTGATCCACAAGATAAGGATGATCACAACACTGCCAAGAATTTCCAGTGAGTAAGATTTTAAAACAAAAGGAGAATATTTTTTCTTTTTATTTTTTAGACACCAAGCCATCATTTTAACAAGCATACTAATGGAGAGGAAAAGAAGTTCAACTGAAATTTATCTCACTGTTACAATCTTATTACAAGGAGTCCACATACAGGCAAGGGACAGGAAAAGAACAAGAAAAGTTTTTGATAAAACAGATTATGCAATCAAAAGGTATGAGTGAAATTTGATGACAAGATGAAAAGTAAATTTCATTCAAATCAATTTGCATTTAAATGCCACATAATCACATAGTTGAAAAAAAGTCTAGAAAAACCAACCTTCCTGGTAGAGATAAGAGTTTTGCGGAGAGCACCAATAGGATCACTCCTTAAAGGCGAGCAGAGAGACAACGAGTTTTCAAGTAGAGTGGCACAATACTGCTCAAGCTGTACACTTGATATCTGTACAGGAAGCCAATACTCTATAAACCTTGAAGATTCTGACTTGCTTCCATTAGCTATGTCTTTAGCCAATCTCTCCTGCAAATTACCAATTTTGTCATTGTCAATAAACCATTAAGGAAAAATGTGGAAAGGATATATAAACACATTGAAACATCAGAACAGGAGTTTTTTTTGGATAATTAGAGGAACAGAGGCAAAGACGGGAAGAGAATAGAGAAACTGGGGATTTTCAGAAGACAATTTCAATTGATCATATAATCTGAAGAACCCTACTACAACTTAAGCTTATATAGAGAGGCTAAAACACTAATTAGACTCCTAATAGAAATCTCAATTGGAAATGTCAAATGCTAATAAATATAAAATATTAAATCTACTACATTACATTGTATCTCAAATTAATCCATATTCATAATTATAATAATATGCTAGGTATTATAGATATTCCTTCCTTATCTGCATCATCTAGATACAGTCTCATATATTAAGTCCCATTGTAAATATATGAAAAATAGGTTGCAAACATAATGCAAATTAAAATCAAAGTTGGAAGGACTGTGATTATTTTGATGACAGATTAACTACAATAGAAGCACGATATGCCATGATTAAAATATTCACACTTATTGAAAATTATGCAACCAGACCAGAGGGGAGACATGCTCCATTTACCAAACATAATTTCATATTGAGGCAAAAATAAAGCATTGAAGAGAAAGATTGAACTAAAGGGGAAAATAACAACCTCAGCCGCAGAATCAAACAAGCAGTTTGACTTTGTGTTACAAGAGCAATTCTCCTGCACTGATGGGTCAACCTCCATCCTACAAGTGTATGCAAGACCAATTTATTATTTTTACTTAAAAAAAAAGAATTCCCTTGACCAAACATAGAATTACAAGCAAACATGATTAACACTATACAGCTGAATACTTTGGCAAATAAAAAATCTACAAACATCCCAGTTAGGAATTTGCAATCAACTTCATCATGATCTACAGTTTCCACTTGATTTATCAAAACATATTAAAACAAAATGGGTACATAAGTGCACACATCATAGGAATGAAAGAACTATTTCTCCAAATTATTGTCAATTTTATGATAATTATGGCCCTCCACTAGAAACCAACTCTTTTACCCCTAGTTAAAACATAACAAGACAACTGAAATATATAAACAAGCAGGTATAAAACCACCTTTGTTTTTTGAAACATGTATCGCATATCTCAACATAATCTTTACTTTTGCAGTTGGATGGCAACAAAGTGACAGCATCAGCCATAGAGTTACACATATCTTTACTTCCAACCATAAGAGGGGGATCAGAAACAATGTCTGCAGTATCCCTTTTTCTTTTTGAAAGCATATGACCCATTTCCAAACTGGTATCACGATCAAGGATCCTTCCCTTCAATGTCGAATCGGCTGAGGTTGGAAATTGGATATTCTCCAGCGCAACCTTTCCAGCATCTTCCATTGTCTCCTTGGCCACAACATTCTTCAAAAGATGCAGACCATCCCCATCTAAAGATTTACAAGCTTCCTCCATAGGACCATGTTTTGGGCCAGTCATAGGCAACTCATGTCCATCACTATCTTCCAAGTTCTTCTTAGGAGATTCCCATGTATCACAATGCTTCAGGCTTGTGGAAGACAACTCATGTCCATCACTATCTTCTAGGGTCTTCCTAGGAGATTGCTTTATGTTAGATTTTGGTTCTCGTATAACAGATTTCTCAGTAAAATCCTCCACAAGATCTTTACCATTCCTTTCAATGAACTTGATCCCATGATCAACTTGCTTTGAACCAGAGTCTCCTTGGTTTTTTGGTTCCTCACAGTGATCTGCAGCACAAGCAAAAAACTGTGGATTGTTATCTAGTTAAATCAAACCAAAGAAATCAAGCAATATCTTGAGAAAACAAAAAAGCATGAGCAGAGTAATGAACAAGAGAAGTTTAAATTTAAATGGCAATAAGCATAACATTGGAGTGCAGAATGCATAACTGTCCATTACAATGTTGGAAGTGACTATGACTTTATTAAACAATGGTAAGAGAACAGAAGGAGGAGAGGAAACAGAGATTGTTTACCAGTTGTATTTGCCTTCTGTTTTTGTTTTCTGAACAATTCCTTGTAATGACGAGCATCCATTTGTGTCTTGTTGACCTCAACAGGTTCCTCATCTGGATTCTCATTTTCATCAACATCTTCAGTTTCCAATGTCAACTGTTTAACACTCTTCTCTTTTTTCTCCTTTTTCTCTGTCATTCTTTTCACATTTGACAAATCTGAGATATTTTTACCCCTACCAGGCCTCCTCAAAGGACTAGAATTCTTTTGCTTCTCAATTCTCTCAGATTTCCTGACTGGACTGGTTGTTGGGTTTTGCTTCTCAACAAACTCAGACTTCTTAGCACTTGAAGAGCTTGGAGTTGTCCTGTGCTTTGATGATGTTTCTCTAGTAGATCTTCTAAGACCACATGGATCTGGCGATGCAGCATGTGAACTTGTTGAACCACTCCCATTAATCTGCCTCCCCTTTGTACTATTGTTTTCAGAATCCTTAATTTTCTGGCTAGGTCGAGTATCATTTGCCATCCTCCAGCTGAAAATCATCCCCCCCCCCCAAAAAAAACAAAGATCTTTAGCATGATATACACCAAAAATATCAAGCACTGTACTTATTCGATAGGCAAAAGATCAAACATTACAATAAATCAAGCATTGACATCCATGGTACAAATCAAGGAACAAGCATCCAATAAATAACCTAGCTCTAGTTATGCCTCATTAAATTATACTTATCCAGTAAACCATATTGAATGAAACTAGAACTGTCTGGCAAAATGCTATATACTTAGGGGTGGCAATTTGCCCCGATCCCCGTGGGGCCCTGCAGGGATCTCCGTCACGGGGACAGGCGGGGATGGGGGGCATTTTCCCCAAGAAAAATTTCAAGGGGAATTTTCCCCACCCTGCGGGGATCCCTATCCCAGCAAAAAATTAAAAAATATATATTAATTTTATTTTAAATTTAATTTAATTTTCAAACCCAAACTCAATCCAATAAAAATTAATCTTAAACCAATTTTACCCAACCCATTATTAACCATTTAACCCTAAAATCTTAAGTCATTTCTCATCTATCTCACGGTCTCACCTTCCCTCCCTTCTGCCGTCGGCACTCTTCAAGATTCAAGAATCTCAGACCTTCTTCATTGTCGCCCTTCTCACCCTTCTGCCCTCACTTTCATTCATTTCTCCATCACCCCTACTGATCTGCTACTGAACTGCTGGTGTTGCTTTGCTGCTGCCGGATCTGTTTCTGGAGTTGCTGCTGGATTGCTGCTGGACTGCTGCAGCTGCTTACCGATCTGCTGGAGTTGCTGCCGGAGCTGCTGCTGGAGTTGCTGCAAAAAATTACATGCAAAAATTTATATTTTAATATTAATTAGCAGGGAACAGGGATCCCAGTTTCCTGCAGGGAATGGGGATGGGGGGCAAAATCTGCCCCCTAAAAAAATCCCCACGGGGATCCCCGTCCCCGTGATTCGCGGGGACAGGGATGGGGAGGCACTCCCCGGCCCCATGGGGCCCGGTTGCCATCCCTATATATACTACCCATTATAGTTCACTTTACTTACCCGACACACAACAATTTCATCCCTGAATTGAATACTACCAATGCTACATCCAACAAATTGTTAACAGAATTGTCACTTAAGGAGGCCAAGGGCTAAAAACAACTGGTTCAATAACAAAAACAATTCCATCGATTATGTAACAAACACATTCTAGAAAACATACATATCTTTTACAAACCAGAAATTAGCTGAGTCAGTACCCAGTAGCTTCAGATCACCTTAATTCCCAAATCAAACTCACTCAAGAAGACTTTATATTGTTCATTGAGTACCAGGTGCAAAATTAAAAAACAATTTGTGAACAACTAAATTTAAAAGTTGATATCAACAACAACACAGATTAAAAATAAAAATAAAACCTTGTAAACTGGATTCCAATTTAGATCCTAAACCAGAAGACAATGCTACACCTCTTAAACCGAAAAAAATCACTAAATACATGATAAATGAATATACATATATATATATATATAAATCAGGATTATTATATGCGAATCGTACTCAAACATTGCTATATACAGAAAGCGGATACAGTTCAAAACCCTAATTGACTATAAGGAGCAATTCTCATAGAGTACCGACTGACCTGCATGTAAAGCTAGAGGGCGGAAAGACTCACCGGAAAGCGACAAACTTGCCGGAGAACTTATTCTTCGAACCTTTTTTATTTTTCCCCCCTGTGTTGTGGCGGGGAACACGAAATTTTCAGGAGAAAACGAGGGAATTTTTTCTTTTTTTTTTATTTTTGGGCAAAACGAAAGAGCCGTTGATGGTAAGCTTTGTTTGGAGACTTTCAACAATTAAGGTCGTCTTTCTTGGGAAGACGATAATACCCTTTGGCTTGAAATAACGATTTTAGCCTCTACTCAAAAGTAGCCACGCTGAAACGCTGAAAGGTCTGCCTTATGAAATATCAGTAGAGACATATCAACTTTAAAAAAAAAAATAAGGGTAAATTATTCTTTCAAATTATAAATTAATATAAATTATTTTTTTTTTAACGGAAAATGTCATAATTCTATTTGCCATGTTAACATTTTTTAACAAAAAAAATTAAAAAAAAAAAATAATTTATATTGATTTATGATTTGAAATGGTAATTTATTTTTACTTTTTTTTTTAAAGTGGACGTGTCCCTGTCGATATTTGTTGATAGTGAATTTGAGGGTTTTGCCATGCTAAAATGACCGAATCACACTAATTCTTTTTTTCAATTTTATTACGAAATAATTCTTTTATTCTCAAATTTTGCTTTACTTGATTCAATATTTAAATTTGATATTTTCAATTTAGAGTCTCAAATTTTTTTATTGGAGCGAAGCACACTATATCTTAGTAATATTAATCTTATATCTTATAATAAAATTATTTATATTTTTAATAATAAATTTTAATTTTAATTCCTAATACCTACGTACAGAACAGAAGGAAAAAAAAAAAAAAAACTACATCCTAATTTTTCTTTTGCCGTCTCTTTATGGAAAACGATGCCTTGGAGGGAAAGAAAAAGGAACCCTAACCTAATCGGAACAAAGTGAAAAACAGAGACCCCCTGCAGGGAGAAATTAGCAAAATGTCACAAACATTTGTCTGCCTGACATCAATCTGGGGGGAAAAAGCTTGCTGTCCGGATAACTTCCTGGTAACACAATACTGGAAATTTTTTCTTTTTCTTTTCATCATTGTAAGTTGTAAATTGATCAAAGAAAAATACATTTTTGGAGACATTTGGATTAGTATTGCATGGGTTCTGTCAATTTTATCATGAACAACTTGAGTCATTAGATTCTAATTACATTCTTGATGGAATCAGTCAATGTTGGTGGGGATTCATTCATTGAGATTGCCTCTTCATTTTAGATAAACTTGTTAACAAAACCAAGTAAAAAAAAAAATGAAAAAAGAGTGAAAATTTTAACTGTGGTTGGTTAGGTGAAGGAGTTCTAAATATTTGATTTGATAGTTGATGGCTATGTACAAACAACCATATGTATTTTACTGGTTTCCCCACGAAAATAGAGTTATTCAAAAGATAAAGAAAAAATGGATCAATATATATATATATATGTAAGGAAATGAGAAACAATTAGAGAATGTATCCTTGAAGAATCAATGCATTAATAAAAAAATATATATATAAAATATCAACTCGAATTAATTAAATTTAATATAGTTTTCAAATATCGAAAGATTAGTATAAAAAAACATATATGCCTTGCCACAGATGTAGAAGGAAAAGGGAAGATGACATCTGATGCTGCAAACACCCAATATATATTAACTAATTCTCCATTTCATCAGGTTTGTAGAGTTGCACTGTTCGCTTATTTATTGGTTGTACTGGTCTTGCATTAGTATTCGACTCCTGCAAACATTAACAGTAATAAGCCTCTAAAAAAATGATAATTTCTTGATTTCTGGGACTTGTTTAGGGAAAGGCTGAGTATGGAAATAGAAAACTCACATCATGAACTGCAACACGCAGCACCCTTACTTGCTCCCTTGTTACAGTCTGCACCTTTCTAACAATGGTCCAGACAACATTTTCAGTACAAGGAGGAATTGTAAGAGATCCAAGGTATCTGTAATACCCGCTGCCTATCTTTATGTCCCGTGGATCAATCACTCCCACATAACTTTCTTTCTCAGTGGTGTCAGTAATATTTTCCAAATGATCTTTCAACTGAACCAACATAGCAAAGACAAGAAAAAATCAGTAAGAAATAAAGGATGGATTAGGAAAAGAAACAACAAATAGAATTCTTTTAATTAGTACCGATAACAAGAAAGAATCTGGCCTTCCAATCTTGTACATAATTCCAACAACAGCAACCTGACCATCCTGGCTTTCATGAACCATGTGCAACTCCAAGTCCAAGCTGTAGTTGAATTTCAAAGTACCCAAAAAGGTAAAAACTTTCCATTGGTTATTTTCTTTGTTCTTGTAGTTTTTTGTTTTAATTTATGGTATAGGAAATTAAGGATCACCTAAATCCATCAATAGTGTGCTCAGAAGGGGAGTGCCAGTGCAACTGTTTGAGTTCATATTCAGTTCCATTAATCTCTATATTTCCTGCTTCATTTTCAAAACTCAACTGCATCCACAAAAGAGAAAGAATTTAACAAAAATTGTATGATGGGACAACATTGTTTTCAATAAACAAATCAAAATTTCACTAATTTCATACTTCTTTTTGTTGAATTATGGTCTGCACCAAACATGTACATAATTTCTTACCTCTAACAAAATTTTTTCTTGAATTGGTCAACAATAGATAAGAAAATTAACTAAGAATTCACGTTTAATTAATTATTTTTTATTACCTTCATACCATGGCCTCTGTTCTTGAGAGTAGCATTAGAGGGCTTGTAGCTCATCTTAAGCCTCCCTAAATAGGAAACAATTTCAACTCTCTCGTTCAGCAAATCAACAGGAGATTGCATTGTTCCATTGCCACATGCACTCCATTCAGGCTTAAGTTGTCCCCATCTATTCGGCCCCTTTTCGCCATTTTTGTTATAATCAAACTCCCTTTCATCATCTGCACCAACAAAAACATATATATATAACTAGTGATAATTTTGAAGGGAAACTTTTGTGTTTCATTGGGGAGGAGGGGAACTTGGGCTTACCAAATTCTTCAGAAGTAGCTTGGGAAGAAAGCAGAACAAGAACAACAAAGAAGAAGATTATGCAGTTGAAGAGGCAAGTAGAAAGTTTCTTATCCATTTCTTTTCGCTTTTTTCACAGGTACTTTTAGTTGCAAAGAAGATTGGAGGACCTGAATGTTCTAGGCCGCTTATATAAACCTTAAAAATGAAAAATTAAATTAAATATTTTTAGCATGAAAAGTGTAAAGAGGGAAACAAATCTCAAGGAGTTAAAGCTTGAACCATATGAGGAAGCAAAGGCTACGGAATCCAGTATTGAACCAAACAAGGAAACAGCTATCAACAAGAAAAAGGAAAAAAATCTCAGAAAATCAATACAGAACTATGTACAGCGAAGAATGCAGCAACAGTAAAATGATAGCGGTCATATGCCCGATGTGGATACGAGGATGTTATTGTTACATCTTTAATTACTACTCTATTCTGTTATATTAATTAAGCATTATGTCCTTTAATTCATTTAAAAAATAAAAAAAATTTAAAAAAATGTAATGTAAAAATAGAATAATCAATTATATTAAAAAAATATGATATTAATTATTTAAGTTATTGCAATAACTCTACTACATAATATTAACCATAACATTGAAATATGAACATATTATTGTATTTGTGTATATGTATATGTATCTCAATCTTGTACTGAAATAATATAGTTGAACTAAAAACTGTTTTACATGATGGATTGCAATTGAAAACTGTTTTATATGATGGATTGTATGCAGTCCGTCGTGTAAAATTAATTAAATATCCTTAAAAATAATATAAAAACAAATTTAAGAATATTTAAATAATTTTACAGAATGAATTACATACAGTACACCCTATAAAATAAAAATCTCATAGTTGAATACAAATTTAGTATTCTCAAAACTCCTTTATCTCTAAAAGTCTGTCAAAAAAAGGACCATTTCAAGGGTGAACCAAGAAATTTAATGAGTCCAAAATAAAAGAGAAAAAAAAACAAATGGGAAAACAAGACTCTTGTGGTCTTTCTTCTTTCTCATTTTCTCTTTCTTAATTTTTGCATTTTCCTCAACTTTATAAAACGACAATGCACACTTGATTCACAAGTAGATGAAACGACTTTTTTTCCCAAACCTTTGAAATTTCCAAAGGAGATTCCTTGAGGTGGTGTGAAATGGGATAAATCCGTACATTCATTATTAGGAAAAAAAATATAATTATGCGACGAAACGTATATATTATATTATAATTATATAAATTAAAATGCTACTCTATGTATTAATTAATATATGTATTTAATAAATTCAACCAAAAAAATATATGAGGTGAAAAAATTGAAAATGATAAAAATAAGTTACGAGTGAAAAGTGGTAGATGAAAATTAAGAGATAAAGAAGTAAAATTAATTTAGTAACCTAACAAAAAAATAATAATAATAAATCAAATACCGCTTATTTAAACTTACTCTTTCTCTTGATGCTCCTTACCCTACATACAAAATCTAAATATTTTTTTAGAAAGATTTTTTTAATCTAAAATTTAGTTACATGATATAAATACTTAGATTACTTAGTTTAAGTTGTATTTTAGAAAGCTGTATCATTTTTTTTTTATTTAATGTTAAGAAAGGAATAATAAAATGATCTCATACAATGCATGTGCAATACACGTGCATTGCACGTGCAGTGCATATATATTCAATTTTATTTAATTGTAGTTTTTTAATTGAAAAAAGAGAAAATATTGTCTAATCTTTAAATACAATAATCGTATAATATAAGAAAAAAGGTAATATATATTTGAATTATGAAATAAAGATTAACATTAAATATTTTTTGAATTCTTTCATATTTTTTCTTTTTAATGTGATTATATACAACTTTTAAAAGTATATTATTGCCAATTATTAAGTGCAATCTCTTACTCAGCCTTAAGCACTTAATTAAAATATTTTCACCTAAATCCAACCCCACTATGAAAACTTAAAAAATAACTTGTGCATTGCACGAGAAAAAACCTAGTAAATTCATAAAATGTTGTATAATATTATAATAGTAATTGATATACACTTCAGTTTAATATATTATACAACACACTCATTAAAAAAATTATTATTTTTTAGTTTGAAATTAAAAACAGACAAATTTAAAAATACAATCATACATACAAATATAAAAATTGACTGAATTAATTATATTTATATTAAATTTTTAATACTTGAACAAAAAATGTATTAGAACATAAGTTGAACCGAAGTTGTGCAAATCATTTTCCATAATATTAATTGCTTGATCACCAAACAAATTTTCAAAGTGGGTCGGAGTTGTCAACAAAAAAGCGATAGGCGCAGCAGCATGAAATGTCAACATTCATATTCAATCTTGAAAACTCTATGGAACAAATATATTCCAATGGTAGGTGTGGTTGGTTAGGAAAACGAGTTCTAGATATTTTATATGATGGTTGGTGGCTATTTATAAACAATAATGTTGTAAATAACATAATTCAATGATACATAATCTCTATTCAATAAGAATAAAAAATCTTAAGTTTGAATTGCATAACATGTGGATGAAAGAAGTTAAAAAATATAAAAAAATTTGTCTCTCATTGAATAATTTAAAATCAAAAAATAAAATAAGCAAGTATTTTATTGGTTTTTCCATGAAAAAAGAGGGATTCAAATTGCATCAATATATAATGAAATAAAATACAATAGAAAATGTTTCATTGAAGAATCAATGCATAAATATATAACATATATAAAATATCTCTCCTCAGTGCGCAGAGCTATCATGACACAGATATAGCAAGAAAAGGGAAGATGACATCTGGGGCTGAAAAAACTCCACATATACTAATAATTCTCCTTTTCATTTGGTCGGTAAAGTTGCACTGTTCGCATATTTATTGGTTGTCGTGGTCTTGCATTAGTATTCGAGTCCTGCAAACATTAATGGTAATAAGACTCTACATAAGTACAATCAACATTAAAGAGAATGACAATTTCTTAATTTCTAGGATTTGTTTGGGGAAAGGCTGAGTATGGAAACACAAACTCACATCATGAACCGCAACACGCAACAGTCTCACTTGCTCCTTTGTTACAGTTCGCACCTTTCTAACAATGGTCCAGACAACATTTTCAGTACAAGGAGGAGTTGTAAGAGATCCAAGGTATCTGTAATACTTCCTGCTGCCTATCTTTACTTCCCGCGGATCAATCACTCCCACAGGAGTTTCTTTCTCACTGGTGCCAGTAATTTTTTCTAACTGATCTCTCAACTGAAAACCAAGATAGGAAAGGTAAGAAAAGTCAGTAAGGAAGGAAGGATTGAAGAGGAAAAGAAACAACAAATAGAATTCTTTTAATTAGTACCGATAACAAGAAAGAATCTGGCCTTCCAATCTTGTACATAATGCCAACAACAGCGGCCCTGCCATCCTGGCTTTCATGAACCATGTGCAACTCCAAATCAAACCTGTAGTTCAATTTCAAAAGTACCCGAAAAGGTGAAATCTTTCCATAAGTTATTTTCTTTGCTCTTGTAGTTTTGTTTTAATTTATGGTATAGGAAATTAAAGATCACCTAAATCCATCAAGAGTGTGCTCAGAAGGGGAGTGCCAATGCATCTGTTTGAGTTCATATTCAGTTCCATTAATCTCTATACTTCCTGCTTCACTTTTAAAACTCAACTGCATCCACAAAAGAGAAAGAATTTAACAAAAATTGTAAACTACGAAAACATTGTTTCCAATAAACAAATCAAAATTTTACTAATGCATGGTACTTCTTTTTGTTGAATTATGGTCTGCACCAAACATGCATATAATTTCTCACCCATAACAAACTTTTTTCTTGAATTACTAAACGATAGATAAGAAAATTAACAAAGGATTCATGTTTAGTTGATTATTTTTGTTTACCATCATGTCATGGCCTCTGTTCTTGAGAGTAGCATTGGAGGGCTTGTAGCTCCTCTTAAGCCTCCCTAAATAGGAAACAACTTCAACTCTCTCATTCAGCAAATCAATAGGAGATTGCATTTTTCCATTGCTACATGCACTCCATTCTGGCTTAAGTTCTCCCCATCTATCTGGTCCCCTTTCGCCATATTTGTTATAATCAAACTCACTTTCATCCTCTGAACCAACAACAACATACACACAGATAAATAAATAAATAAACAATTTTTCGCGTGGGGGAAAAAAGGTTGTGAATGATGTTGAAGGCAAAGCATTTGTGTTTCATGAGTGTGGGAACTTGGGCTTACCAACTTCTTGGGAAGTAACTGGGGAAGAAAGCAGGACAAGAGCAACAAAGAAGATGATGCAGCTGAAAAGGTAAGTAGAAATCTTCTTCTCCATTTCTTTTTTTTTTTTCCACAAGTGCTTTTTAGTTGCAAAAAAGATGGGAGGACCTAAGGGTCATAGGCCGCTTATATAGACCTTAAAAGGGGAAAACAAAATTAAAATATTTTAACATGAAATAGACCATTTCAAGTATGAACACTAGATATCACAAAGAAATTGAATGTGTCAAAAATGACAAAAACATCTAGAAAAAATAAAACTAAGGTGGACTTTCTTCTTCCTCCTTTATCACACTAGATATCACAAAGAAATTGAATGAGTCACAAATGACAAAAACATATAGAAAAAATAAAACTAAGGTGGTCTTTCTTCTTCCTCTTTTTTCACTTCATTGATTTTCACATTTTCCTCAACTTTATAACACATCTTTGCTTACGATTGATTTACAAGTACGTGAAAAACAACTTTTTTTCCCAAATATTTTAAATTATTACAGGAATCATGCGACAAAAATAACTTTATAAAATGTTGAATAATATTAATTGCTTGATCAGCAAACACCTAAAGTCCTAATATTTTAGGTGAAAAAATGAATTGTGGCGGCAGCATGAAATTTCAATTTTCAGACACAATTTTGGAAAGTCCCAATAATTTTTTTAGTAAACCTCTTATATGTAAAAATTATTTATATTTAAAAATTATATTTAATTTCAATTAATTTAGAGTTGGGTCATCTAACATATATTCTTCTATTCATAAAATTCTAATTCGAAATCTTATTTGAAAAAAAAAAAAAAAAACTAAACTCCTTTCACTCAAACTAACAAATTATTAGTAAGAAATCTCTATAATAAATGTTC